AGTTAATAATGGAATTCAGACTTTTATTTTATTATTTTTAAAATTTTTTAATTTTTTAACGTTTATTTTTGAGAGAGAGAGAGAGAGAGAGAGAGCGTGTGTGCGCGTGCATGCTAGTGGGGAACGGGCAGAGAGAGAGGGAGACAGAATCCAAAGCAGGTTCCAGGCTCTTGAGCTGTCATCACAGAGCCTGACGTGGGGCTCGAACTCAAGGACCACAAGATCATGACCTGAGCCAGAGTAGGATACTTAACCGAATGAGCCATCCAGGTGCTCCAAGAGTTCAGATTTTCTAATTCCAATCTGAAGATTTTCAACATAGCTTCTCTGAAGAGTGCCACAAATTGATGTGGACAGGGAGGGAAGAAAGATAAGGATTATAATCCTCACCCTGGGTTACTTCTGTTTACTTCAAGGGTCGCTTTGATGAGATCATCAAGTCTCTGGCTCCTTTAAGACAGAAAAAAATGATGCGGTTAATGGTAGATTAACACCAAGTGGATAAAACTATTTATTAAAATCAGAAACAGTATAAACACTCACTGATATGTCAGAGAATTGAAGATTGTTAAAAGTGGCTATGCAGAAGTATGTAGGGATTTATATGCTACTGAAACTCATTGAGACTCAGATAATATTTTAATTTTGGAGCGATTATGCCACTAGCAATTACTGTGCTAGGACTCTGTCTCCATTTTGATTCATTTAATGCTATGTTCTTAGCCTTTACTGGGTACACTAAGCATTTTGTAACAGTCCATACATATGTCTCATGGAACATTCCAGAAGACATACTCTCTTCATATCAACCTCCAACATGCTGTGGGACTTTAAAATCAACTTTGGAGAATCTATACTTTGTAAAATTGACATTTATTAGCAGGTTTTCTATTCACAACACTGGATTAAGATAAATACACATATTTTTTCATGATAAACAACCTGGTATCTGCTTCTGGTACTTAGAACTGTATATTAAAACCACAAATTGTGACTAGTTTGTTGGCAACTAACAATAGAGAGATTAAAATCTATTCAGTTCTGAAATGTAAGATATATTTATTGCATTATACAACTTCAGGTAGTCACTGAAAACTTGTATTTTATTGTTACCCTTTAGTATATTGTGCTTCTGATCTTAATAGAATTTTGTTTTCTTATTGCATTTACATGTGAAAAGAAAGTGAGTTCCAAAGAGCACAAGATATTTTTCTGCATCTGGTGAGGGGTAGAACTCAGACCCAGTTTGAACTTGTTATACTGCCTGCCAAACTGACTTCTCTTCTTGACATCCCTGATGGCACCATCATTCTCCTGATCACCCAGGATCAAAATGTCAGTCTTCCTGGGTGTGTCCCTTTTCCTAACCACCCATATTAAATCTCTGTGCATATTAAGTCCTTAAGGTCTTTCCCCGAGCTCTCTCTTACGGTTATTCTATCTTCCCTCTTCCCTATTCCCTATCAACATCACTAATACTGCTATGATTGAAGCAAAGGCTCCAGGTAAAGGAACATATACACTTGCCTTGGTGGGTCTCCTTCTTGGGCTGGCTGAGGTGAGTTGGAGAGGTATGAAAGAATGAGGTGTTTGGGGTCCTGGCCTGAGTCAATGCCATCTCACCCTGTCTCTCTCCGTCCCCTTAATATGACTTTCAGAACCTGGGAAACTTGGTCTGAGCACCATATACTTATTTGCCATTGCCACTGTCCTTAGTGGAGGCTGGAACATCTGATTCAGAGTGCTCTTTGAAAGGTTGCCTTCTCCTCCGGGCAAGGAAACCAAAGACCAATGGGACATCTAAGCATTCTTAATTCAGCTTTATTTTACCTAGAAACAAGGAGAATGCTATGCTAAGGAGAATGAGATTACTTCTCCTTAAGAAATAGTTGTAGATTTTGGTGTTGGATAGATAAGGAATCCAGATCCAGGATGTGTTGACCTTAGTTGAGATGCATCCTCTTAGAGTGCATCTGTAAATCCCATCACACATGTGGCCCATATAAGGGTCTTTCACTCCTCTGAAGGACTGGTCCTGAAAAAGAGATTCCTTCTGAGAAGATGGAGTTTAGGTGACAAAAGTCTCAAGAAACCTGGTTAATTTATTCACAATATGAGTACAGAAGCTGATAATTCAACCATTCTTTGAACATAAACTTTATTATGTAGCACATTTATCATATTATAATGATTTGTTTGCTGGTCTCTTCTCTCTGTTCAAATTCTGGCCCTGACAATGACTCACTGTGGGCCATGGATAAGCTATTTATGCTGTGCCTCAGTTTCTACACCTGTGCTAGGTGATGATAGCACCTACCTCACAGAATGATGATGAGGATTCAATTCAGTGTGAATTTAGCTTTCTCTCCCTGGGGCCTAGTACCATGACTGGCTCGTGGGCACTCTGTAATTATTTGTGAATTATTTTAGTAGCAAAATTTTCTGTAAACTTCTTTGGAAGGCTGAGCTTAAAGAATTTGTCACATTACTTACTGAGTTTTGGGAAGAGGATTTGGCCAAAAGATACTTTTCAATCAGATGGAACTGAAGATAATGTCTGTCTGCAAAGAGAAATTGAAACCAGATGAATGTTTTGAATATTTTACGACTGCATTTGAGAAACGTTAGGATGTCTCCATTCCCACATTTGGATGGGTTCTTGGAACTACCTTTTGTGTCTCATCCAGGATGGCTAGAAGTTGATTTGAATTTCCTCCAACTTCATTTGAAGCTGTGCTCAAGCTCCAACATATTTGAAGATGTGGAGTTTGGGCACTAGACGCTTTTTGCTGTCTTGCTTCCCTGGCATGATCTCCCTCTAATATCCCAAGCATTTGGAGCCCATATCCTTCACTGGACATACTAGTACACATTGTCTTAGGCCATTTAGAGTTGCCGTGGTTTGTCATTTAATTATTGTAGGTTCACTTTAAATCTTAATTGTAACTTTTGTTGGGGAAGGACAGTCTTATTTTTCTTTCCTTCACACGAACATGTAAGAATGGTGAGCTATTTGCTCTGATTGATAGGTTTAAAATTATGTTTGTCCCACATGTTTAGAGATGTCATTTCTGAAAGGAAAGGTGTTTGAATAGCCTTCTCTGGAGATCTTTAAAAATAGTGATACTTCTCACCTGATTGGGGTGTTGAAAGTGAGGTCTTGTGGGGCAATGAAATGGCTTCTGGTCCTGAAGTTGGAATTATTTTAACTTTAGTTTGAATGCACATTTGAAAATAATGTGTAAAAAGTATGGCAGGATATTCTGTGGCAGGTAGTCTATCAGATGGGGCTGGGATCAGGCCAGGGCTGCAGGTACATGGAAAAACGTTCTTCAGTTCAGAAACCAGAAGAGAGGGTAGAGGGCAATTATAGGAGCAAAAGCATCAGGTCTCAGGCAAGACAATAGGCACGTTTGGCCTTGTAAGTCCAATTAAGTGGGTCTGAGCAGTGTGTTAATTTTCTGTCATTGCCATAGTAATATTGCACCTGTGAGGCTTAAAACAACACACGTTTATTCTCCAGGTCATTAGTCAGGTACAAGACCTACCTGGCTAAAATGAACTTCTCCATCTGGATTCTCACAGGGATCTCAGACTTAACATGTCCTAAATGGAACTCCTGCTTTCAGCTCAAACCTGCTTCTCTTCCTGTCTTCCCCGTCTCATTAAATATCAGTTCCATTCTGGAATTGCTCATATATCAAAAGCTCTGGACTTGTCCTTAATTCCTCTTTCTTATAAGCCCCAGTCAGCCAATCTGGTTGGCTCTACTTTCAAAATTATGTAATCAGTGTGATTATTTCTCACTGTGTCAATATCTGTAGTTTGGATTCTTGTAGTAGCATTTTAAACTGGTTCTGCTTCTTCCACTCGTGTCCCATTTCAACGTATATCGTCAGCACAGCAACCAGAGTGATCCTGCTAACATGTTAGCCAAATCTCACCCCTCTGCTCTTCACAACCAGTTGGCCCATCTCACTCAGAGTTAAAGCCAAATACTTTCTGGGGGCCTAACAGGGCAGGCAGGCCTGTCGCTCTGGCCCCTCACTGCTCTCCAGTGATGTCACTTGTCTACCTCATAGGCTGTTTGGACCTGTACATCATCAGACTCTCAAAGTTTCCCACCTGTCTGTCCATAGCCAAAGGTCATCCTTGGTTAAGAAGGCAGATTTCAGGTCAAATAGGGACGCTTGGTTCTTCCATTCTCTGGGTCAAATAGTAGGGACATCTGGTTCTTTCATTCTCTTGCCTACCCCAACCTTCTTCCAACCCCATTGTGATAGCCTCTGAGTCTGAGTAGAGGAGCTTTTCATGTTTGACTCAAAGATAAAGATTTCCTCACAAGGTTCCATGGTCTCCAACCCAGTGACAAACCCAGGGGCATTTTCTGGTTCTGCTGCTCTTGTATCCAGTCAGGCCAGTCACTGACATAGCACCTGCTGCTGAAATACAAACCAGTTGTTGGGGTTTGAGGTGGGGGCAGATGTTCCTGGAAAAAAGGGATGGGAAGGAGTGGTTCCTATTTTAGGTTAACCACATCAGTCTTCCAGTCTTCCAACATCTTTCTGCTCAATTGGCCACACTCCTGGGGATTTTGTGCAGGTAACAAGCATCTTTGTGAACAACTGTTCCTCATTGTTGAATTCAGCAGCTGGCAGAGAGGTGAGGGATGCAGACAAAGCCTTAAGGGATGTCAGAGTGGGCTCAGTGAGGTGTCCACTCTTGTGTCTTCCCTTGCACTGTTCTTCCCTTGCAGTTGTACCTAGAGGATTCAGTGTATGTTTATTGTACTGAAATGACACATTTTTAAAGGCTAACGAACATACCAGATGATAAATTAATCACACACAAATAAAGTCTAGGTAACACATACCTTATTATCTCTGGAATTCAGTATCAGTGTAAATAAGGGAACTAAGAAGGGGGCTAAGATCGGCTGAGGGTCTTTTAGGACATCTGAGGTGGCAGTGGGGTTGATGTGTCTTGTTTTTGTCTGATAGGTCATTGCTTGTGAGCAGCAGTATGACTCTTCCTATGACGCTCGCTGTGACGTCTGGTCCTTGGGGATCACAGCTATTGAACTGGGGGATGGAGACCCTCCCCTCTTTGACATGCATCCTGTGAAAACGCTTTTTAAGATTCCAAGGTATGACACAAGATGGCGCTCTTGGCTTATTAGTTCTTTGTGAAAGAGTCTGGTTAAGAGGGATAATAAGTGGTTCGCAAACAATTTCTGGCCAAACCTAAGAAAGCCTAATTGTAAAATGTATTTCTTTTGGGGAAAAAAAAGGGGGGAGTGGGGGAAGAAAGATGACTGTTCCTGAAAGCATATCCCAAAGAATAATAGGACTATATTGTAACCATTGCAGATTTTCAGTACTCTGATTTTTCTGAGATACTCATTTATTGTGCTTTGCACAAGAGGACTAAAAATACAATTTTGGATTAAATAATCTCTCTAAATGCTGATTTTCTCTTTTTGATTATATAATCACATCTGGTCATTCTGTTTGTTTATTGGAATCTTTCTCGAGTATTCAGGAAAATTTGGGGATAAGAAATGTGTATTATATTTTCGTATACACCCAGAGAAGCACTAAAAAACATCAGCTAAGTGAATCAGTTATAAGACTTACTCTCCATCCCCTGATTTCCATCTCAATGGGACATTGTGCTGAAAGAGGTCTGTTTGGAGGGTATTTAAATGCCAGTATATTTTCTATTGTATGTATTCATTAGGGGTTTGTAACTAGAGATTTGGTTGTTTGTCTTTCATCAGAATTGGACTGCTGTTTGGCCGCTTAAGCTTCTAGTTACCGAAAAGGAAGCAATCGGGCGGGCGAGCTCTGTCCTGGCTGGGTTGCAGATTAAGAGATTTGTACCCTCCACATTTCTCTTTCAAAGGAAGGCTCTGGGCCGGCTTGGAGCTGTTTAACTACTTTAACAGTGCAAGTGTTAACCTTTCCTTATCTGCACAATCACACAGCCTTTAAAAATCTCTCCTGATTGCAATTTGCATTTCTGATTAGGTCTATTTAAATGCAGATGAAGCCTGTGGTGTTCATCATCGTAATGTTATCGTTTTATACCTAATCCAGATGTGAACCACTACCCACCATTATTCCAAAAATGATTCCCACCCAAGTCAGGATTGGTCTTTTTGCTTTTTCCAAAGTACAAACACAAGTCCAGGCGATTGGAAGAACAGACAAAGCTCCTGGCTTTTAAAATTAATAGTCTGGTGATCATTTAAAACAAAGTACGAATGCAGGACCAAAAGCACTGTTGTATGCAGTAATATGTCAGAAAATGAGAAATGGTGTCTGGGATGGTATGTGTGTATGCTTTGATTTTTTACAAATCATTAACTTTTCACCATTTATTTACTGTGGTCACATAATTTCCCAAAGATCAGAATTAAGGTGTGGCTTCTGATTAGCAAGATATATGTACTTCTGATAAGACATCATCTACTTGGGTATATATTTTTTTCTTTTTTAAAGTATGTGTTTGTGTACAGACCACCTGTTCAAAAATTTCATACGGTGATAAATGTGAGGCAGCTTAGAAAGTGTGTGTGTGTGTGTGTGTGTGTGTGTGTGTGTGTTTAAATAGACTGTTCATCTCCAATGACTCCTCTGGGCTTGCTTCTGTGCCTAGCAAAGTCTCTGATCTCTAATAATCTCAGTACTTCACTTCTTTCATCTTGGGAGAAGCTCCCAGACCTTTGAAATACAAATAACCAAGCTCCCTCCCCCCACTGCCTGCTTCTGGACAGGGTGAATCCCAGGAACAGGACAATTGCTGGAAAAGGATCTTAGGGGAAACAAGGATTCTTACCCTAACATACGTTGAAGCTTTCTTTTTCTCCTTTTAATGTAATCTCCTGCCCTTTTACCATCTCTTGGTTCCTGCAGAAGTGATGAATCAGATCAAACTGGGAGATGTCAACAATAGTCAGTCAGCAGATCCTCAGTGAGATTCTATGTGCTGAATACTTGCCACTGTCCCAACCTTAACAACCAACTTGACGTTCCTGTGCAGGAAGGATGGATTTTTTTTTTTTTTAAATGTAGCATATTTGCATATACTGCACAGCATCTTATACTCCCCAAGTTATTTACTTAAAAATTACCCTTTCAAGGGGTGCCTGGGTGGCTCAGTTGGTTGAGCGTCTGACTTCTGCCCAGGTCATGATCTCACCATTCATGTTCATGGGTTCGAGCCCTGCGTTGGGCTCTGTGCTGACAGCTCAGAGCCTGGATCCTGCTTCATATTCTGTCTCAGTCTCTCTCTGCCCCTCCCCTGCTGGTGTTCTGTCTCTCTCTCTCAAAAATAAACAAACATTTAAAAAAATAAAAAAAAATTACCCTGTCAATTAGAATTATGCATTGCTCTTATGAAGTATTGTGGATTGACCAAGCAAGTATGTGTGTGTGTGTGTGTGTGTGCATATGTGTTCATACTATCTTAATTTTGAGTGCTAAAAATGTGCATTTCCTCAGAAAAACTCTTTGATGGAGAGTGGAAAAATTAAGCATTTATATATTTTAACTGGGCACTCAAATTATTTACCTGTGTGTTTCACGGGGTACTCTCTCTCTCCCTCTCTCATTTTCTCATTCTTTCAGCATTTTCTTTCCTGATGGAGAAGAGAAAGTGACAAGTAATGACAAAAATCTGTTTAATCCATTTGGCTTCTGGTTTTTTTCCTATTTGGTTATGAGCGTCTTTGCTGTTCTGGAATTCCCTCTAGTTAAACAATGAAGTCCATTTCAGAGTATTCTAGGATCCAGAACATTGTATGTGGCTTCCTTCTTTGGCCCTCCTAACTCTCCTCTTCCCTGCAACCTTCCTTACTGGAAATAAGTACCAAATAAGGGAAGAAAAGAAGACCTTTACTGAGTCAGGGAAGATACAACTTTCACAGGTTCTGAAGGACTTAGGAAAGAATGAAGTGCTGGTTACATGTGAGATGAGAGCCTCAGGTGTCAACAGGCAGATAATTACACAGGTTCCCTGGACACTGTCAGAAAGCATGAAGCAAGACCTGCCTGGATGTGGTTGACTTGCCTGCACACAGGGCTCCTTACTTTTCCCCCCTCTGCCTACATTTCTTCTGGAGGCACCTTCTCCTTTCTTTTGACCTTCATGTTAGAAGATGACACATGGAGTAATCGTGACCTGTCTTTGAAATGCTGCGTGACTCACAGTCTTTCCTACATTGCAAACACACAGAAATTATCTGCTGATTGTGACAGCATCCACTATTTGCAGAACCCGTCAGCATGTGTCATCTTGTCTAACGACTTTGCTCCAAAAAAGTCACCCCTCTCTGACAGTCACTGCTCTGTCTGCTTCTATTTTTCTCTAGGAGTTAGAAGAGAGGAAAAGAATGAAAACCATTTCTTTGGGCATCAGTGGATTTGACAACATCTCTCTGATGACCCTCTCCTGAGGACTCCTTTAAATTGTCAAAGGCTTATTAGAAGGATCTTGCTGATGACCTGGATATATTTTTTTCATTTAAAGGGAGATCCATTTCATAGATGTAATTGCAAGAACCCATAGAGTTAGGAGAAATATGCAATTATATTTCTCTCTTGGCAACTAGGTATCTTTCCTTAGCTTGGAATCTTTGCCTCATGACCCCTTTGACCTTCGTAGATGGGAGTCAGGAAGGCAGTGGGGACCAGTGTGGCTGTGTCTGTTGGACAAGGGCTAAGAGCTGTGTTGCCCACCCATTTATTTGGGGCCAGATAGAGGCTGACTCTTGCCACACATTGCATAGTACTGCCACTTCATTCCTTGTGGATAAGTGTAGAATGTTTTCAGCTTTCCCAGCAGAAATGTCTTTGGCTGGGAGTGGATGGGCCAGAATGGCCTGAACATTCCAGTTCCTAAAGCCAGTGGTTTTCCCTTTCTAAAGAGAAGTTTCCCTGCAGTACACTGCAAAAAGGAGAACTCATGATAATTTCCAGTTCACATTTGGGCTTGCTTTTGTCACCAAACTTAGGTTGTTCCAAGCTGTACCCAAACGGTACATTAGTTTCCTAAGGCTGCCACAACAAATTACCACAAATTTTGTGGCTTAAAATAAGACAGATGTATTGTTCTAGAGACCAGAAGTCTGAAGTCAAGATGTTGGCAGAGCCACGATCCCTCTGAAGGCTCTAGAGGACAATTGCCCTCCTTGCCCGTTCCAAGGTCTGGTTACTTCCGGTCGTCTTTGGTTTGTGGCAGCACAACCCCAGTCTCTGCCTCCACTTTCGTGTGGCTTTCTTCCCCGTCTCTCTGTGTGTTCTTTTTTGTCTTGTCCTATAAGAACATTGTTACTGTTTTTAGAAAAACCCGTCCTATGGGGCGCCTGGATGGCGCAGTCGGTTAAGCGTCCGACTTCAGCCAGGTCACGATCTCGCGGTCCGGGAGTTCGAGCCCCGCGTCAGGCTCTGGGCTGATGGCTCAGAGCCTGGAGCCTGTTTCCGATTCTGTGTCTCCCTCTCTCTCTGCCCCTCCCCCGTTCATGCTTTGTCTCTCTCTGTCCCAAAAAAATAAATAAACGTTGAAAAAAAAAATTAAAAAAAAAAAAAAAAAAAAAAAAGAAAAACCCGTCCTAATCCAGAATGATCTCATCTCAAGATCCTTGTCTTAATTACGTCTGCAAAAGCCCCTTATCTCAAATGAGATCACATTCTCAGGTTCCAAGTGGACATATCTTCTGGGGGCCACAGTTCAACCTACTGTACCATCAACTTTCATGTTTTCTAAATTCCCTGAGAAACTAATTTGGGGCAGAATACAGGATAGCTAGCTAAATGATGATGGAAACATAATAATAGCTTAGATTTATTGATTGCTAACTGTGCGGCAGGCACAGTGCTGTGTGTTTCCCAAATATAAATGCATCAATCCCTACAATGACCCTGAGGTGGATTCTATCACCACCCTTTTTTCTGGAGGAGAAAACTAGAAGCCCTTGGTTATGCACCTATGGAGGAAAATGGTTTGAATCCGAGAACTTTGACTCCAAAGCCCATATGTTTTGCAGCTATAGTTGACCATTGGACAGCATGGGGGTTAGTGGTACCAACCCCTCTATGCAGTTGAAAATCTGTGTTTAACTTTTGAGTCTCCCAAAATGTGACT